AGCTAGGATAAGTTTATGGAGAGAATACAGAAAGGGGAGTTCTGGCTGTTCAATTAATTAGAGGGTGTGATGTGTGGAGTTATGCTTGCTGTTTAGGTTGCAGAGCAGAATGGAGTTTCTTTGGTTTTTCCTGTGCTTCTGGGCTTTGCTGGTTGTCACATGAAGCTGTGAAGGAATTTTCCCCCTCTTGTTGCTACAGGTGCTAAGGGGTTTGTTTTTTCACTTTCCTCAGAAGCATTGGGTTTTGGTTGCCTCCAAGGCTAGGGATTTTGACTAGGGTGTGCCAGTTTTTCTGCTGGGACTAAAACTCAGAGTTTCTAGGCTTGAGGGTCTTGCCTATCTGCTCAGGGTCAGACTGATCACCCTATTTGGGATCAAGAGGGGATTTTACCCCATGGTCATATTGGTTTGCACTGTATGGGGTTTTGCTTTCCTCGGTAGCAGTGATTGAAGGCATAGCTCTCTTCCTTAGATTACTTGAGTATGTTTAAACAACAATTGCAGCCCCAGGATAATGATAATCCTTGTTCCTCTGCTTTACATTGGCAGGTTAGAGTGCTTTTGGTGTCTTTGGGCAATATCCCTTGTTGATGTGCAACAGGGTTGATTGTGTAGTTTAAGGAATAGGTTAGAAAATGGATTTATATAGGATGGTTTGGACAGGAGTGATCTTGCCTCTGATGGGAGGTTTGGACTGCATGATCTCCTGAGGCTTCTTGCAGCCCTACATTTTATGATCTGTGCTCTTCTATTTTTCTTAAACCTGTACAGCTAAGACACTAAATTGTATCCAGCATGATTAGAACATCTATTTGCAAATTGCATACTTTCCAGTACTTGCTGATATTTTGTATCTTCTCCCAGCTCAAAATAAAAGATTATATCCATTTTCAATTGCTCACTTTCATTTGATTTGATCTATTTGTGCTGGTACAGTAAGTGTGATTGTTTGCAAAGAATGTTCAAGATGTATATATCTGAAACAGTTTGTTCTAATGATTATGGATATCCAGTAATCTACTTTAAAAATGCAAAATGATTCAATCGGTGTTTTATTGATATTAAAATGAACAGCACAAATGCATTCCTTTAACATCCACAGATGTTGGGCATACAGCCTACCTGTTCCTGTCTGTTTTGAAAGCTTGATTGACTTAGAAAGTAAGACATTTCTGTGATATGATGCTTTTATAATTGCTGTAAGCCCATTCCCCCCCCCCCTTCCCATTTCCATATTGTTGAAAATTATACCACAGTCTGCTCCTTAGCAGTTTTTCTTGCTAACAGTTTGGGCTGAATCATCTGTTCAAGTATAGCTTACAGATGTCATGAGCCTTTCCACACTAACATCCATTATCCACAGTTCTGATCTCATCTTTTGAGATAAATCCAAGATTACACAGATTTACCATTTTATTGTTAATAGTAAAACAGCAGTGATGGCTAGCTTTAAAATCTTTCTGGCTGGCTAAACAGTTCAAAGTCACTATTGCAAGTGATTCAGCAGCAAAATGATAGTTTTTAATTTTGTTGTTGTTGTGTGCATATAGCACCAGTTTGGCAAATGAGGTACATGCATTATATGTGTGTATAGTAGTAATTGTTTCATTTCTTCCAATAAACATTTTAATACTGTTCCAGTTCATACTGACTGACAAAGAGAGAGATTATTGTGCCAGTAAAATGTAAAATGAGTATATTGGAGACATGAAATATAGTTCAGCTGTTTGTGATATTACTTCACCCACTCAGGCATCTGTAACAGGGGAGTGATCTTAGGGAACTGCTTGACCTCCATATGTTCCTGGGGTTTATAGTTTGCTGCTATTAGAATTCATAGTGCAGGAACTAGAGATTTGCTGTAGGATGCTAAAGATTTCTGAGTACT